ATCTCGAGAACGAGCACTCCATCTTCCGAGGTGGCAAGAAGGCTGGCTATACGTCTTCTGATGAGGCTGACGACCCTGGGCCTCCATCCAAGCGCCACCAATCTCTTCCTATCGCCATACCTAAGCGGACAACTACCCAGATCGAAGAGCTAGCTGTGGGATTCCTCGTTGATACCAGCAACCCTCTCACAACGTTCAGCAACCAGTACTTGCAGCACATGCTCAGCCTATTTAATCACGACGTAACGCCCAGATCCGGTGGTCGAGATCTAGCCAGAGGGAACAACTTCGACGACTCTACATATCCAAGAAGGAACAGATCGAGACCGAGATACAGAGGGCAATCTCGAAGATCTATATATCGTTTGACTTGTGGACCTCACCTAATCGATACGTTATCGTCGCTATCTATAGCCACTTCATTAACTAGTCGGGTAAATAGACGCAGTACCTCTTAGGTCTCCGCCGCTAACCTGGTGCTTACTCTGGTGAGAATGTTGCTACCACGATATATACTGTTATGAAGGACTGGGACCTACTTAATAGGATTGGTGTGACAGTCTCTGACAACGCCAGTGCTAACGACACTTATATCAAGGCTCTTTACCCATCTCTATCACATTTATATACAGAAACTGACGCTCAACAACGTCGAATTCGATGCTATGGCCACATCCTCAACCTCGTTGGCCGTGCCATCATTCATGGCGTTGATGAGGAGGCATTTGAGGAAGAGTCTGACCGTCTTATTAACGCTGGAAGAGTGAAAGAGGACCTAGCCTACTGGAGGACTAGGGGTCCAGTCGGCAAGCTCCGGAACATCGTCAAGTATATCAGATCATCGCCATAACGTTCTGAGAGCTTCTTAGCTATTAGTAACGAGGCTGCTGATGATGATGATGCCTTTACTCTGTGGGAGGAATCGTCACAAGAGCTGAATCTGATGTTGAGTAACACTATTCGATGGAACTCGATATATAACATGATCAACCGGGCCCTACTCAAACGTACCTAGATCAATGGTTACGTATGCTATACTCTGGGCCTCGAAAATGACGAAGATTATGTCCCAAGTGAGGATATCCTCACTAACGAGGATTGGCAAGTCCTCGTCGAGTTGAATGAGGTTCTCCAGCCCCTCTATAAGCAGACTAAGAGATGTGAGGGCTGGGGCAAGGGTGACGGGCATGGTCGACTCTGGGAGGTTCTGGCAGGCATCGAGTATCTCTTGGATCGACTTGAGGACTGGCGCAAGCTCTACGATACCCTTACTACCAAAGAGATTAACCTCACGGCTACCCAAGTATCTCAAAGTCTTTCATCACAGCTATCTCGACCAGCAAGGGCATCGTATCGATCTGCCAGAACGCCAGTCTCGCAGACCCCATCAATCAACAGTATCCCAACTCATACCCAGTCTGACTATATCGCTACTTCGCAGCAGAGTCAACCGCGCCACCCCCAGGGTATTAACTTCGACTCTCACGGATACTTACGCCTATCGATTATTAATGGTTGGCAAGTACTTAACAAATATTACCTCAAGCTTGGAGAGTCTCCTCTCTACGCCGCAGCAGTGATCTTACACCCTGGCCGGGGCCTACGATGGCTCAAGAAGCGTTGGAACACCCCAGAGACGCGAGGATGGCTTCATGACGCCCAGGAAGGACTTCGAGACTATTGGGAGCAATGGTATGCCGAGATGACTACCCGTCCTAAAGAATCAACCTATCCAGAGCCTCCTCCAAAGCCTCCGCGAGGCTCTTTTGTATCGATCGCAGTTCCTCCGAGGGTTGAAGACTCTGACTATCGTCAATGGTTAAACAGCAGCCTCCATGACGCTACTATCGACGAGGTTGACGAGCTGGATCGATACTTCACCCTCTCAGTTGCCCAGCCCGTCGACGATCCTATTCAGTGGTGGATTTCACATCAACAGACCTTCCCAACGCTCAGTAAACTTGCCCTCGACGTCTTTGCTATCCCAGCGATGGCGACCGACTGCAAAAGGGCATTCAGCCTTGCCAAACTTACGCTGACGTCACAGAGGCTATCCATGAAACCATCACTGCTTGAGGAGACACAATGCCTCTAGAACTGGGTTCGAGGGGGCAGCGTTGCTGTTGGTGGGCATTACTTCAAGCGGAAGGGTTGACGGAGGGCAGGATGACATCAGAACATCAGATAATGTAAGTTTCTGACCCATAGAGACATCGTGAGAGCTTCACTGACTTCCTAAATAGGTAATATTAATCAATTCAATCCAAGCCAGTCAAATCAAGCAAGCTTCTTGTGAAAAATCAGTCAATCAGACAAGCCCGTCACCCAAGCTTGGCTTGATTGATTGGTATGCAGCGCTGATGCGGCGCGCGGACAGCCTGGATCGTGTCGCCGAGCACCGGCCCCCACTGCACATCGTAAAGCGAGAAGTTGACCCACGACGTCTGAATGCAGTTGATACCCGGTACATCCAAGAGAGCGGTAGGGATAATGCGGTTCACATCCTCCACAGTATCAATGAGCGTAGCCACGTCATCGACAAACTGGTTATCCGCGCGGATCAACGCCTGCCGGACGAGGATTGCCAGGTCAGCTAGGGACGCCGAGCCGAGCATCTTGCGGATCGGCGCCGACGCCGCTACGTAGCCGAGGAAGCAGCCCATAGTCTCCGGGTGCACCGGCGGGTCCGTACGCAGGGGGGCGTCGACGGCAATATTGAAGACGGATACGGGGTCGCCCTCGAGGGTTTCGAGAGGTGACTGCACCGCCATGACGGTACGCGAGAGCAGCGCCGAGAGCGCGTCGTTGGTGGAGACCCATCTCTGTTTCGTAGGCTCCGTAGCATTTTCTGGGGAAGCTTCGGCCTTGAGTCTGGCAAGAGCACCGGACGAGAAGTAGAAGATTTGGCCGCGGTGGTCTTCGGAGAGGATCTTTGGCGGCATGCCCTCTGGCGTGAAGGGGATGATGGTGTACTCGGGGCGGTCTTCCGCGCGGCCCGGGTTCTTGCCGGTCGGGCTCATGATGCGTTGCCGGTCTCTGAGGAAAGCTTCATCGAGCTTGAAAGGGTCTGCGATTTCAAGGCCTTGGGCCCTGCGGCACTCCTCTGCCCAGATCTTGGTCCAGATCAGGAACGTCTTCCCATCTCCGAACATGTGAAAGATACACCAGGATAGAATCATGCCTCCCTGAATGAAGTTGGCTTGAGGAAGGGACACGGGCAGCCTTTCATCCGGAGTTGCCCATACCGAGCGCCGGCAGATTGTGTTGGCGTCAAAGGAATCCACTGGGAAGTTCTTGGACTTGAGTTCCTCGTACGTCATGGGGAAAGCACCGGGAGCTCGGAGATCCTTGACTGTGATACCTTCGATGTCTCCATGACGCAGTCTCTGAAGCTTCAAGACACCAGCTTGCTTGGCATCTGGGTTCGGGACAGCTTCACATCCTAAAACAGCGATACGCTGTTGCGCAGCTTCATACCCTGCGCGCAGGACAGAAGCAGCTTGCTCGAGGTTGTAGTCTTCGGGGAGCTGGAAAGGGAAGACATATCGAAGGAACCCTTTGGGTCCGATACGCTCGAGGGGCGTAAGATCCGGGATCTCCGTGAAGCCTGATAAGAACCCCATAGCTGTTGATGTACTAGAAGTTCATGCTGAAGTTCATGCAGAAGTTCTGAGCTGAGATGAGCATTGTGATAGCAAAGGTACAAGAATGGCGAGTGTAATTATATCAAACCCTTGTAGTCCATCGCTGTGTCTTTGTCCGTACGCTCCAGACCACCATGCGACAAATGCCAACCACGCCGCCCTCGTACATTCAAACCAGGTCATAACATATCGCAATCCTCCAACACCGAAAGCAATGACTTCAGGGGACCTGCATGAAGACACTCTTCTCAGAGACTTGGTACCAAAAAGTGGAACTTGCCGAAGTCCTTTTCCCTGCCTCAACGGGATGAGATACACCGTCAACCACGTTTTGTCTTTTGTGATCCTGGTTCCAACAAGAACCAGAATCGACTTCCTTCATCCCACATAGAGCAGGAGCCGCAAGAACGGAGAAGGCACATTTGTCCTGGAATCATCTCAAGGCGAAGATGCAAAACTCGAAAGTATTTCGCGGAATTGTCTGACTCTCGGTCAATGTAGATAACATTTTTGTACTTGAAGAAGTATGTCAATAGACTTTTTTCCAGCAACAGACCCAATATCCTGATCATGTCCGTCATATTTGATTCCTCGCAGGAGACAGGAGTGGACCGCGAAGAGGAAGCCGCATGTGATATTCTAATCCTTGCATTGCGGGACTCGTACCCCTTGTTCCCCGAGACAAAGCAGTTAGACGGGCCGTTGGTGAAGAACGACAGGATCAGCGGCTCCACGACGTTGCAATAGTCAGACTTCAGCCATCTTCCTCTTTCAGAGATACTCGTCCCATCGCATTCTCGAGTCACCATTTTACGCTTTGAAGCAAACATGTCTTTCTGACGACGAGGATATTCTGTCACATCCACGGCTTACTGGGTACTTCAACAAGAAAGCAATCGAGTAGTGTTGATTGCCAGAAGTCTGGGTATCACTTTCATTCTGGCCAGTTCATCAACTCCCCCTCATTAGACTCTCGTTCCTGCATGCGCGGGACGCGCACCAACGAACATGGAGCATCAAGACTACAGGGGAATTGCGGACACAGAAACCCCCCACCAACACAGAGCTTCCCCGTCTGTGCATATAATCCTTGAACGGAAGAAATCAGAAACGATCCACATTGTCGCCCTTTGGGGCCTTTGGCGAGACCACAACTGGCAGCATCACGCCCTCTCTTGACAAGCAAACAAGACGGAGGAGGCTGGCACGACTGGGCACTAACAGCGTTTCCAGGCCCATTCTTCATCCCTCTCGAGCCGCAGCATAGAGGCTCTTTTTGGCAAGACCGTTGGAAAATCCGAGCAGCATGCCTGTCGATGCGAATGCAACGGGTTTACCTGGGTCGAAAGCACATCCGACTCCTCCAACATGCATCATATTTCCTTTTTTTTCGCGCCTCCTAGGCACCAAACTGTGCCGCAATGATTCTTCGACCCAATTTTGAGATCCCATGAAGAAAATATCACTCATGGGAAAAGATGTCACCCAAAGAAACTGAAAGCTGCTCGTAGTCCTCTCATGTGGTGGTGTTCCGGTTCCCCTTCCCGCTTCACACCACCACCACTACACCCATCTGGTCGTCGATAATGGAACCTGATCCCCATATCGTCGCCATATTCGGTCCCCCTCCAGACGGCCTCGACATTTCAGAAAGCAGCGTCGCTCGCAACAATGCCGCCGTTATAATCCTAGCCGTCCTGGCTTCCGTCGCTGTGGTGCTGCGGCTGATGGCGAGGTTTCTTCAAGGACATAGTCTGAAGGCGGATGATTGGGCGATTCTTGTCTCACTTGTAAGTAACAGCTACAGCAGACCATAGTCTCTTCGCAACTCCCACGAGTCAGGCCCCATTGTTTCTCTCCTCCATGGAATAGTATTGACGATGCTTTGCTACAGCTTCTCGTAGGCGCCACCGTCGGCCTCAGCATCGCAGGCGGAGCCTACGGCGCAGAAAACCACGTCTGGTTATTCACACCTCTAGACCTAACGCAAGTCTTCAAAGTAACTTCCCCTTCTCCCTATTTCTTGACGCTATTCTCATCACCATAGAAAGAGTGACCACAACTTCACACTTCATACTTACTCACACAAAACACAGATCCTCTACGCCTACACCTTCATCTACGGCACAGCCTGCGCCGCCACCAAAATCTCCATCCTCCTCTTCTACCAACGCATCTTCCTCCTCTCCACCGCCTCCTTCCCGTCCTTCAAAATCTCCCTGACCTTGGGCTACGTCCTCTCCATCGCCTACCCCATCATCATCTGGGCCACCATGGCCAACGCGTGCCGCCCAATATCCTTTTACTGGAACCAGTTCGTGGGCGAGCAGGGGAAATGCATCGACATCAACACCTTCTATCTGGCGCTCGCCATCATCAACATAGTCACCGACGTCATCGTCCTCTTGATTCCCATCCCGCAGATTCTAAAGCTGCAAATGTCGGGGAGGAAGAAGGCTGCTGTTTGTAGTATCATGTTGCTGGGAAGTTTGTAAGTCAACCCCCCTTGTCTCCCCTCACTCTCACTACCACCTATTTCCCATAGCAATCATTACCGATACCCATACACGACATGCATACTAACCAACCCCCCCCCAGCGTCTGCGTAGCAAGCATAGTCCGAATAACCTACCTCTCAACCTTCTCCCACGCCCTCGACATCACATGGCAAATGGGCCCCGTCTTCATCTGATCCGCAATCGAACCCTCCATCGCAATCGTCTCCGCCTGCCTCCCGCACCTCGCGCCCCTCCGCCGCCTCGTCCGCCACAAAATCTCTTCCTCGCTCGGACGTTCCTCCAGCGGCGGAGGCGGGGGTGCCGGTGGCGGCCCCTCCTCCAACAGCGCACCATGGAGATCCAAATCGGGCACCGGCGGAGGAAAGAACAGCAGCTCGCAAAAGGGGTCGGGCGCCATGTTCACGTACGGCGGGCCGAGGTTTAACTTTGGCGGTGGCGGGGATGGGAAGATGAAGTTGGGGGAAGGGTCGGATGATGAGATTGGACTTACGAATCGTATTACGGCTGGGTCGGGCGGTGTCAAGGATTTGTCTACTGGGTCCGGGTCGGAGGAGAATTTCAATGGGGGGTCGATCGTTATTCAGTCAAGCTTCATCCAGGAGAGCATGAGAAATTCGCGATAGTTAAGAGTAGATAGATCACCGGAACGAGAAGATGTGCATAAAGTCACACATGAGGCAACGTAAAAGTGAATAAGAATGAATTAACAATGATCTTTTCTCGAGGTTCGAGTGAGTATGCACAGGGGAATCCTCTATCCAAATACTACCTCCTATACCGCAAGACCAGTGCATCCATGAGTCCAAGACGCCCAAAGACGCCCACAGCTAATACCTCCCAAGACCCGTGTGCTTACAAAAAGAAGGAAAAACAATCAACATAAAAAAGAAAAAGTCCTGTTTAAAAGACCGCCTCCTTCAATGCTGCTGGCCCTGTTTTCTCTCCAGGTCGTTGGCAAGGTTCATGTGCATGAGGGCTTGGGCTGTCCAATTCTCGTCGCCCTGGCTACCGCCGCCTTGCTGATTCTTCCACAAATCCATGCTCTCTCGGCCGTCGACTCCGGGGAGGTGGATCGTCGGCGGGGTCTGGCCCGGCTTGGCACCTACAGGTGGGGGACCGCCGTCTTCGCGACCAAACGAATCAAAATCTGGCAAGACGTAGCCGTGGCCCGGCGGCGCGTACGCTTGCTGCGCGAATGCAGGGCCCTCGTCACCGGGCATCTCTGCAATGCCGTCTTGGCTCTGTTGGGGAAGAGCTGCCATCTGTCCGACCTGATGCTCGAATTCTTCCTGCTCCAGAATTTGCGGTGCGTGTTCGACGTTGCGCAGGCTCGAAGAGCCAGGGGCCAAGCCGCTCATGGTCATGCTCCTCTGGCTACTAACAGAGGCCCTATGAGGATCGGGTCCATCTGCACCAGGGTCGCCACCAACAATGCTGTTGGGGTCCATGTCTCGAATGGCGAATTGTGCTAGGGTACGCATCTTACGGGTGACCCAGCCGGCCAAGATCTTGCCGCGCTGCTTCTCGCCGAGACGCGATCGTGGGAAGTCGCCCTTGTTAACGAATGCGACAATATCGACAATGATCTGGTGTTCGTTGAGGATCGCGTTGACAATGACTGGCACGACGGAACCGAGGTAAGCCTTTCGAGTAATCTCCGCTAGTAGAACGACAAGACCACCGGCTTGGAAGACGGCGCTACGTGTTGTTAGCATAATCACAGTACTGATGGGAACCGCCAACTTACCATCCACCAGTCACGATGTTGCGGTGGCACCGTTCCACAGAGGCCTCGATGTCCATGGGGAAGTGGCTGAGACCGTTGATCTCAAACGTCTCTCCAATGTTGCCGAGAACGAACAAGACCTGCATATCTACCTGAGCGCCTCCAGGGCCGATAGGCCTGCTGACGTTATGCAAGAAACCCAAGTCGCCCGTGCGAACGTACTGGATGCTGGGATCACCATCTACGGTGCGACCATCGAATCGCTCGGCGTCAAACACATCCTTTGAGCCGTAGAATGCCTTGACACAAGCCTCCGAGTCGACCCAAATCTCTCCGTACTCGCCATCGTGGCAGAGCAGTCGGCTCTCGGGGTTCACAATAGCGATCTGTGTAGAGACAGGCACCATACCGGAGTCCTGGAGCAGAAGCGCTTTAGGATCCTGCTCGGGATCTACGGGGTAGATCAGACCGCGGCGCAGTGCCTTTGTGTCTAGCCAGAGCTCAATAGGCTCGATGCACATGTAAGACCTCGACGCGACCATGGGGTTGAGCACGTGAGAGTAGACAGTGTTGATGGCGGTTCGGTCGAGGCCAGTAGCCGCGAAATGAAGCCGTACCTTCTGGAACACGTCCACTCGTGGCCTGCTCTCGGCCGAGATCATCATATTCTTGAGCTCGTGGAGCGTGAATCCCTTGCCCTGCATCGTGGCCATGGCGTGATCCAACATTTGTGGCGTCGCATAGGTGTCCTTGATCTTGTACCTAGAAAGAGTCACAAACAGCGACATTGGGTTTTGCGCAAACTCGACTGGCGAGAGGAGATATGTGGGGGTGCCAATATAGATGCCCATCAAGCATGAGTGAATGAAACCCAGACCAGTGGTGCTACGCACGCATCCCAGCACGGGGCGGGAACTCGTCATTTGGCAAGTCTCCTTCTGGACCTTGCACATGCCCAGGATGGTGTCGTGTCCAAGCTGAACCGCAATACGGCGCTGGTCGGGCGTCCAGTAGGTCCAGATGATTACAGGGTATCCAGTCTGGATCCAGGCGGGCTGCATGGTGATGCCATTATCGCGCAGGCCACTGCTTTGCTTTGGCGGCTTGGTGGTATTGAAGTAATTCGGCACACCAATCTTGAGAATTGAAGCGGCTTGCTTGACGTGGTTGGAAACCAGCTTCAGCTTGACCAAGTGATCAACTTCGTGATTGATCAGGATAGCCTTGACACGGAAGTCGGCGACGACATGCAAGAATGCCGGCACGTCCTCGTTAAGGCGGTTCTGATCCAGAGGGGCCAACGGAATGACGACCGCGCCCAGGTTGATGCAGGCATGGACGGCGTAGACAAACTCCTCTGAGTGCGTGTACATCAGAATCAAGTGGTCGCCAGGGCGAATCTTGACCTTGTTCTTCAAGTACAGTGCCACGGCCGCAACCTTGGTATCGAACTTCTTCCAAGTCACGCCCTTGCCTTCTCTGCCACGACCATCAATGGTGCAGTATGCCAGTTCCTCGGGCTGACGGGCAACGCGCCATTGAATCAGGTCAGTAATGCAAGAGAAGTTGTTCAGCGGCGTTGAGGTGCGATCGTCAATGACAACTTCTCTTCGGTCGATACCCGAGTATTGCTTGTCGGATGACATGAGAATCCCAGCACGCGAATCAGATGAAATGGGAGACCAAATGCCTCCGATAGGATCAACTCCGATGGGGAGGTTGAGTACTGCGTGCTCAACACCAAACTTGACGTGAACACAGGGCAGGTTGCCCAGGTCAAATTCTCTTCTGCAAAGCATATTCCCGATGTCCCTACGTCCGTTCTTGACTACTCTGGGCAGAGAGTTTGGTGCTGTGATCATGACGCAGTAGAGCCTCAAGTGGTGTTCTTGCATCAATACGTCCATACATCTCTCGGCGAGGGAGTCGAGCAGTGCAGTATCGAGTTGCCTGGGCGGCCCGCCTGAAGTCAGAGGCGCTGTGGATGCAGCTGGTGATTCCAAGACAACAATGGGTAGATGCTCCTCGTTGACAAACACGTCAAACGCAGAGCAGTCGTAAATCTTGGGCACATTCTTGACGATGCTGACAACGAGGTGCTGAACAAAGAAGTACCGGTACTCCGCTACCTCGGTGCCATGCTCGACCCATTCGACCTTTTGACGAATGCGATCTTCGTAAAGGCCAAGCACAAAGAGCTTGCCTTCGATGACCGTGCCCAGCAGGCCAGTCCTCAAGAACTCGGGTTCTACAACAGTGGGCGTTGGTTCGCCGGGATCAAACTTGTAAGGTCGAGCGTGGAATATTTGCTCCGTGTGTTTTGGCAGAGCCCAAAAGCCTCCTGATAGTGATGGCGAGTCCACCCAGATTTCTCCAACGGAATGTGGTGATGCCAACAAGCCGGTTTCCGGATCGACGACCGCGAGGGTGGCATCGGGTATAGGGTATCCAAAAGCACCAATGCGAACAGTACCCTGTTCGGTAGCAGCTCGTTTTCGCGCTTCGTCTCCGATTGCTACTACCACAACTTCATTCGTCTTCAACGCTTCTCTGTCGAGGAGCACCTCACTCAGTTCGTTCTTAGCGCGCTGCTCTGTGGTGGTGGTGCCGCCGCCTCCCAAGAGACTGCCGAAGCCATTTGAGGGTGCAAGCTTCACCTCTTCCTTCTCTTCCTCGTCGGAGTCAATGTCGGACCCCATGTCCAGCTTCAATGGGCAGCCCATCCGCTCTTCGCCTCCTAGCCAGTCACGAATACTGATCACCATGCCACCATGCTCAGGCAGGCACAACATTGGCGCGACTACCTCGCGAGCTCGCGGGTTTCGCAGTGGCCTCAGCCATCTGTCTGCCAATACTTCGTGGAATTCACCGTCAACCGTGAGGGTATCGATCAAACACAGTTTGACCGTCTGGAAGTTGGGCTCCATGCCCTTTTTGAAATTTCGTGTCGTCATAGGATCTGACTGGTAGTTGTAGGCGGCACGCTTCAGGCCGGGATAGTCGGCAATCATGAGTGTGGCCTTGTACTTCGTGATGAGATGAGCGTAGAGACCCGGTACTTCGACGGCCTTGTTCTCAACCCAAACAGTCGTGTGACCTCCGTAAACGGTGAGAAGGACACCCAGAATCATGCCTATACCCTGTCGAGGATCCAGGTATGAGAGAAGCGTCTCGCTGGTCGCTCCAGCACCGATGAGCCGGCCGTTCTTATCACGCAAGGTTCGACTAAAGGTATCACCAGGTCCGTTTCCTGGCACTGTCGTAACGACGGCACTCAAACAAGCCATCTGGTGCATGACTGTCCTGTGACTCAGGACCACGCCTCGCAGATCACCCGTGGGCGCCCGCGAGAACTCGATATATGCCAAGTCTGGTACCGTCAAAGGCGGGACATCGTCTTTGCGCTTGGGGTGGAAACTGCCAAACTCGTTCGTCTTCCACCATTCTACACCCTTGGGCCAATTAAGCTTCTGTGTTGTTATGTCGCGCTGGAAGGCCTTGAGGTTGTTGTCGGTCGTGAGCGCCAAATGTGCCTGCGTCGAGGTGAGGATCAGGTTTAGCTTCTGATAGTCTTGCAAGTCATTGATCGGCACGGCGACGACGCCGGCAATGAAGCAACCGAGCAGAGCAATAGCAAAGTCAATGACTTCAGTGTCGCGGTAAATCAGGGCAACGCGATCGCCGCGATACAGCGAGCTCTTGTCCCGAATGACCTGTGCCACCTTCTCGGCTCTTGACGCAAGTTTGTCCCACGTAATGGAGGCAATTTCTTTGCCCTTGCTGTCCAGCACCCAGTACGCGGGCAGCTTTGCCATCGTCTTTCCCCTGTGTCTCAAGACTGCGGCGATATTATCGAACTTGGACATGGGGGTGTTGCTGTCGTGCGGGTCGGAAATCGCAAACGGAAGGTCGCGGGGCTCCAGTGGCATCTGGTACTCGAGCACTTCTGGCGGGGGCAAGTCGTTTGCTGTGAGCATAGGCGGCGCCATGGCGGCCGTTGGCGAGAAAGCCTCTCCTGACGAGTATCTGTGTCCTCCGCCGTATTCTTCTTGGCCATTCTGGTCGTAACCCTGTTGATCATAACCCTGTCCTTGCTCGAAGTTCTGTCCGCCAGTGAAGCCAGAGAAGTATCCAGTCGAGTCGAGCATCGTGCCCGTCCGGCTATCGTATGGGTTCTGCCCGTGCTGGTCCATGTAGTGTCCTTGCTGGTCGGGATTAAAGGCGTAATCGGTCGAGACCATGGTGCCAGATCGAGTCGGCGGCTCGTTAGTAGCGCCTAGGAAGAGTGAATCGCGCTGCTTCATGTTCGGGCGTTGTTCGGCGAGGGGGCCGCCAGGTCGGAGGAGACCGGCAGGGTTCATGTCGGGGGAGGTATAGCCAGCTCCGGGTGATTGGTACCCAGGCGATGCGTAGCCACCAGAGCCATGACCGGAGCCGTGGCCGGAGCCGTGGCCAGAACCATGACCGCCGAATGGAGACTGTGGGCGGTAAGAGCCGGGAGAGGTCGGGCTTGTGGGATCGGAGTCTCTACCGCCGAGCGCGGCGAGAGCTGCTGCGCGGTGGCCATCGCTCGAAGGGTGTCCGGGGTTATCTGGGTCGTGTATGCCCAAGCCGCCTCGGGGTTTGGCAATAACGGGAGCGCCGACAGATCCAGGGGCCATGTATATGGAAAAGAGTTGCGTCCGTCGCTTCTGGTATCTGCGGGGAGAGGGAATGGGTTAGCCGCTGTCGCGCCGTTCGCAGTAAACGGGGGAGGGGAAGGTCATGATGGAGGGGTCAGCACCAACCCCTTCTCTGTAATGTCGCCTTCCTATAGTCACGAGAATGCGTCAGTCAGTGCGACAAAAGGAACGGCGAGTACTTCAGTCAAGGCTGCGGGTGCTCGGGCACGATGCGCGCATGCGCAAGGCCGTCATCTCGAGGTGGAAGTAAAGTTGTGCGATTCCAGACGGTGCCAACAGAATGGGGACTGGAGGGTTGCAAACATACCTCCAACTCCTTCTCCAGCTCCTCGAGCTTGTCCTGCAATTCAGGATCTAATTGTGCAGCCATGACGGGCGAAAACAATGCTGGTAAATATGCACAATGGAAGCGCAGGATGCAGCAGCGACAGGACAAGGAAGGGGAGAGAGAATAGGGTCTAGAATGTAGAATGGGCCGAGACCCCCGGGGTTAAGGGGATTGTGGAGAGTGGGAGGTTCCGTTTGTCGAGAGTTTAGAGGGACGATCGCAAGATGTCGATGTCTCTGTGTGTCTGGTCGGATCCCCTCATCCAGTCTTGTCCAGGTATTGTCTCGTCTTGTCTTGGTGATCGCAGCAGCAAGTCGGTAGAAGTGGTGCTGGCATCCTCCACCAAGTCAAAGAAAAGTCTCGTGACGTAGGTCGGACCAGGACAGCAAGAAAGTGCGGTCGCTTTGCCTGGTTGGGTCAAGGATCGAGGCCAGGCAAGGTTTGGTCGAGTTTGTTAAGATTAAAGAGGCTGGTGGGCGGGTAATTGGGGGTGGGCGGGAGAGGAAGCCCGAGAGGAAAGGCGGCGACTGCTTCAGTGCTAACTTTGAAGGTACGAAGTACCTTTCCACACTTTCCACCCACCTTCCTTGAACTTTGGGACAACTCAGGGAGTCCAGGGTTCCGGGCGGGAACACGGGGAATTTGGTAGTGCGGCCACGGGCGCCTGCCTACCTTACTGTGTAGGCACTGATGTGTGAGAATCGACTGATGTGCGAGAATCGGGTGTGGTAAATGATTATCGGTGCAGCATGTACTTCGTGTTTCTTCCAAGTTTAGAACGAGGGGGGAGATCTACCCCGAGAATCCCAAGAATGGCCAAGGAGAAACGTCTATCACGGTGGCCGTTATTCTCTGAGTGTGTGTGTGTGTCCAAATCTTGGGCATTCAACTGACCTACGAAAGAGAAGAGAATCATGCCGGGAGACGCGCATCAACAAGTTCATCCTGGCGGAGCCGACAGCGGGTGTCAACTCATGAATTAGCATCGAGATCCCGGAATCGCAACCCAAACAGACTTTCAGCCTTTTCAGGTACCCGCAAGGCAAATCTCACACTCACTCTGCCATCCTGTTTCTCACTCTCACTCTCACTCTCACCCTCAATCTCATCCTCACTCTCACTCCCACCCCTCACCGTCAGTCATCAAACGCACAGGCTGGCGGCGGGTGGATACGATGAGAGAGCATCGAGACCTCTATCGAACCCCAGGCTTGGGATTAATACCTGAAATAAGAAAACGGCAGTCAAACATATCGTCATCGACGCCCAGCATCGCCCAGCGTTATAACCCAGGCCTAGCACCGTTGACAAGGACCCCGGGATGTGGCCGCTTAGGAAACCCCGAAATCAGGAAATCGGCCCCAGGACGCTTGACGGAGGCATACCCAAACGGGAACAGAATCCCCAACTGCCATGCCCTGCACCCTCCCAATGCTCCCATCCCATTGCTCTCCCCTGGGCCCTTGCTCCCCATTTGAGCATCACCCCTCTTTGGTCTTCGCTTTCGAGGGAATTGAGGATTCGAGGCAAGTTTCCACCCGTTGGGTATTGATCTTCACGTACCATTGCGGAATGGCACACACTTGCGGCACCCACCAAAGGTGCACAGTGACCACCAGTGGCCAGAAGTGGATGATCGGAAGAGAAAGGCCAGAACACCAAGGCAAAGTAGAGTGAGTTATTTCTGTCGGCCTGCATCCAGGGACCACATTAGACCGTCCCGACTCTCCAGAGCTTACTTGACCCAGTGGAATTCTCCAGCAATGCAAAATCCGCCCATGATTGTCTGGCTGCCACGGCTGCTAGCCTGATAAATGAGCTTCCAATTTTCCATCTGGCGGGTACGAATTCGGGGAAAGCAAGGCCAATAATTGATACTTTACCGGTCGGATGAAGTCGCAGGTCCCTGAATGCTGTCATCAGAAAGATTCTCGTCGCCATAACTTGGTCGTATGATGAGTCCAGGTTGATGATCCGCTGCTTCTGGTACTCAGGTAATTAAGTCCTTTCTCTTCTGCTAGGGACTACTTGAGAAGCTGAGATTCAGATGTAGAAGCTATCTTCGAAAGATACAAAACCTCCGCGGATGTGGCTGGACCAGCCGGCCAGGTGTGGCGCACCATGGCTGTGGCTGAAGCTCCAGCCCACTTCTACTCTAGCTGGCCAAGCCTGTGACCTTCTCCCGCTTCCTCCAATTATCACACTTCAGTCACTCTCAATATATTGAGATTGCCCCCTTCCACAACGGATAACATGAGTATGATGAGCTACAATGATTCTCTGGGCTCAGTCCGAATATCCAGCACGGATAAGTCCGTGCAAGCGGCAGCCCACTAATCATACGTTAAAGATCGACCGCACCACCGTTTCAAGGCCGCTTACGGATGCTGCGCAAACCTAATAGGCGCAGTTAACTCACATCAGACGACGGGAGATTTCCAAATTACTCGGTATCTGCCGAGTACCGTAGAAATATTGCCGCGACCAGGGTGGCTAGAAACATTTCAAAGAACAGATTATATTCAGTCTCAACCTAAAGTACCGCGCGTTGTTCAACGTCTGCGGGCAACACGTAAGCCCATACCAGGCGTTGACTTCGCACCCTCTACTATTACCAACTAGGGTTCTCCTTCAAGCGCATCAGTGACAACATCTTCCAAACAGTGCAAAGGTCAAATCCCAAGGCTTCGGGTCGACGAATGAGAGCACCTCGTGTCTCGCGATAAGACTTTCCAAGGGGTCGTCTGAACTCGTCTGCCTCCGGATCACCTCGAACTCTGATGATCATGAAACGCCTCTCCGAGTTACCGCATCTGGTATGCGCGTGTTTCTCACCGGGCGAGTAAAACATGGTGGGGGGATACTTACTCCAGGAAGCCCATCACACTTAGACGCCGGGCAGCTCGGTCTCATCCCTTTAAGTGGTGACTTACACCCAAACCTTGGTTTGTCTGCACTGCATTAGCTCTCGGGCAACCTTTCAGCGCTCTTACAACATCTGCTTTCGTCGCTCATCATCATTGGAAATCACACAGGCCCAGTGTGACAAGTTCATATTTCTTTGCTCATCTATCTGGCTTCCAGTTCGATATCGTTCAAATCGAGCTCGATTGCGTGTGGCTATGTTGCCCTCATTTCTTCGAGCAAACAATGACTCCGGCGATGCGGACGGCCGGCACGCGTACGCTCCGCTGGGAAGTTTCGACTCGAGCAAAGAATACAAACCCGCGGTCGATGACGCAGAGGATGACTCAACATTAGAGGCGGAAGACTCGCTACTTCCCATCAACAAACGGCGGCGAGATGCCTGGAGAAGACTCTCGAGGGCTGCCTCCTTTCTGGTCCCAAGTTTCCTAGGACCAAAAGAAGACAAGGCAAGGCCACTTCGCTCTACGGCTTGGCTAGGTAAGAAGGACTACCTATACCAATCAACTCCACGTGCTCAGGCTAACATGTTGCCAAAGACGGCTTGCGAGGTATTGCAGCGTTATGTGTTGTGTTCGTTCACTGCGGTCTAGTGTGGTTCTCGTGGGACATCCAACTAGCATGGACACCGAACCCGCCTCGAAGATGGTGGCTCTACCAACTGCCTATCCTACGGCTCGTCGTCTCAGGCCTCGCCCCCGTCTCCGTCTTCTTCGTCGTGTCCGGCTACACAATATCACACCGCGTCCTGACGCTGGCTCGACGGGGAGAGTTCGACAAAGCAGGCTCGGCTATCGCGTCGTCCGTCTTCCGCCGCCACACCCGGCTCTTCCTCCCAGCCGCCGTGGTCAGTTTCGTTGTCGCTATCATGACTTGGCTTAACTTGTTCCCCGACCAGGGGCTGCCCGGCGTGGCCTACCCAACGAGGGTGCCACCGCACTTTGACTCTCTGTGGGACCAGCTACGGCACTACATCATGGCCGAGGCCATGACCACCGACCCCATCGGCCAACCTCATGTCCGGGCCGATTCCGACATACCGGAACCTATATACGATCCCCACCTCTGGACAATTCCGCTTGAATTTATCAGCTCCATGGTGGTATTCATGTTCCTGACGGCCTTCACCAGAGTACATAACAGAATCAGGATGTTCTTCGCGCTCAGCTTGGCGATCTATCTTGAATGGTTGTATGTCTATTTTGGCATGTTCCTGTTCCTCAGTGGGATGTTCTTGTGCGATCTGCATCTCGAGCTCGAGGAAAGGCAATGGCGGTGGCCAGCCTCCCGCTCTGAAGCACAGCACCGGGGCACATCGCCCTTGGATGGGGTTGCACATCGAACGGAGAAGCAAGGCAGCACGTCTCACGGCGTTCTTGGACGGGGCGTCGGGCTTGTCTCGTTCGTGATCTCGCTGTGGCTACTCAGCATGCCCGAAGACATGGAGCAGGCAGCGCAGGCACCAGGCTACGTGACCCTAGTATCCTTGGTTCCAGCAAGATTCCAAGAGTGCCTCGTGATACCAGTTGGTGCAGTGCTAACGGTACTCGTTGTCGACCACGCCACATTCCTGCAAATTCTCTTCACGAATCGTTTCTCTCAGTACATGGGCAAGATCTCTTTTTCACTGTACATGATCCATGGACCACTCCTTTACTCATTAGGCTTGGTCCTGGGTCGGTGGACTGTTGGTCTTGTCGGCGGCGGAGACTCTGAGATATCCTACCTATTTGCCATCCTGTTGGCATTCATGCTATGGGCGCCGGCGGCGATATATCTTGCCGATCTCACTACTACCTTTGTAGACGCGAAGGCGATAGAGTTCTCCAGGTGGGCATACGGGATGCTTTTGAGAGAAGAATGATAGATGATAGATCAGAGACCTGCTTGGTCTGGAATCGGATAAACCCGGCCTACCTTGATACCATCACTCGCTCCCACTCGAGTTACATCATTGGCTCGGTTAAATATCCCGATGGACTGAGGTACCCTTCCCAGAAAGGATTAGTGCCAAAAACACGCACGAAGGAACAGGGGTTCGTTCCTTCCCTCCAACGACGTCAAGAACGCACGGCCCAAGACAGGGCCGCGGGGCCCTCTCATTCGTCGCCGACCTTTTTTGGCCAACTTCCTCCACGTTTATTTAAGCGCGACCAAACAAAATTTTCTTTCTTCCTTCAGCCTCACCTTACGACAGTTTCATCAGCCGTCTGCCATCTACCTAGGCTGACACCTCCGCGTGAAGCTGGTAATAGAGGATGGTATGCTGATAGAATAGTCGAGGCAGCCGTCGGCTTCTAGCTGGTGGTGTCACGCTCATTCGCAAGCAATGTGGAATGCAGCCACACCTTCCTCGAAACGCGAGGCGGTAGACATCCTCTCCATTCACGGACCCAGATGCCCTTTCATCCCCTGGTGCTTCCTTCACCGGATGGCATGGCCTGACCAGTGGTCAGGCGCAAGCCGTCTTTGAGCATCGTTTACCGCCCGCATTCAGGGATCGTCGAGCTCGCACGACCACGGGTTCATTCCCTGGCGAGGCTACGGCCGAAGCGACGCGACAACAGATGGGCCTGTCGAGGTCTACACCACGGGACACTTGCGAGCCTAGACTGTCGGAAGTCGACGGCGCGCTGTCAGTCTCGCCGTGCCTTGCTAATCCGGACAGGCAACTGATGTGAATCATCTCATGATCCATCCAACCTAGTCAAGTGGTATGTCAACAATTTTCATTTTCACCCTCAACCCATCAAATGATGAGACAAGCATTTATTCACAGACCTGTTCGGAATTTACTGTCGAGGAACAAGCAATTACTCCTGATACCAAATCCATACCAAAACATTTCTTCAGCATCTTGATCATGCTTCAGTCGCTGACGAAACCCCAGACAGGAATCTCTGCATAGCACAAAACTGGATTGGCCGCGGTCGAGTCCAAGAATGCCGTTATCGAGGAACAAGAGAAGCCTATCTCTTGTTCTCTCATAGCCAAGCCCCTTGTCTATTCCCGCCAACGTCTTGTTCTAGCAATGTTTCCTTCTCTTCGCACTTTGTCCATACCAATCAAGTATCTATAATAGCAATATCAACCTTTGTCAGCCAGACAATTCTCAAACACTTCGAACAATGTCGCCTCCCCGCGTTCCCGTTGTCTATCACTGAACCTCTTTATGCACGTCCTTCTTCATTGATCTCGAGACTGCTCTGCCACTGTGGAAGGGACGGCCACCACACCTATGCATATATATCGTGTTGTGCGCCCACCCTCCCCAGCATCCTTACTCTCCCCGACCTCGGACTACCTAGACAATCGATTCGTTTTCACTTTTGCGCCGTACATACTCACTTTTAACTACAGACAAGCTCAACTACGGATCTTTCAAGTACAGAGATTCAACTACACGAAACATTAGACCTGATTTCATTCTCGAAGAGGACCGCAGGAAAAGTCGAGCAATAAGGGACGAACAGCACCGCCGCAGACTTCCAGCCTTGACTTTACACAACACTTTAGGAGATATAATGGCCATGGTACTGTCCACCCCGGTGATGGACAAGTTCAGCCCAGACCAGCTCCCGGGAACCCTCTTTAACGACGCCAACGACTCCTTCGGTGACGTAGACTCCTTTTTCAACTTCGACGACGCTTGCGTCGAAGGGCCGGTCCCCGAAGTCGAAAAGGAGACTACGCAGATCCCAGAGACTACCATCGAGGAGGCGATAATATCACAGCTCTCCGAGAGCCAAATCTCAGACGGCTCGCTTTTTGGAGGTAACGGCGACTCCAATAATGGTTCCCTATCCAAGTTCGAGCAGGAAGAGGTCAAACCCGCGCAGGCCGCGACGATAAACCCGAACGTCCTTTTCATCGCACTACCAGGAACACCACCACCGCTTAAGCAAGAGCAGCGCCAACTAACACCTCCCACCACCGCAGACGACATACCCCTCGTGCTATCGAGCATAGAGCCAACAGAGTTAAAACAAGAACTCAGGCCAGAGTTCCAGCAGGACTTCCAGCAAGACTTCAAGCAAGAGCCTACACCCTTCGCCGATGACCAAAACCTCCAGGCCCTCTTCGACGAATTCGAAGGCCCCATCGCTGAAGCTCTCCAGCTTCCCACCGCGGCCCCGATTCCGGTCCCAGAAGCAGCACCATGCGTCGCCACATCATGGCCCTCTCCCCCGCCGAGCGTCCCATGGCCCTGCTTCGACGGTCTCGAGTCCAGTGGTGACACCAGATGGGACCTCCATTCCGACCCGGCTGCGGGGCTTGGCGGTGGCGGTGGTGGTTATGGTGAAGATCTCTTTGCTTCCCCTCCTCCTCCCGACATGTTTGCCCCCCAACGACCGTGCGGTGACCGCCCGTCTTCTGCACTCGGAGACGCCCGCGAAGTCTTTGACCTCGACACCACTGGCTTTGACAACTTTAAGGGGGAAACGACGTATGACGGCCTCGAATCCTTCAGCCCTGCCAGCGTCAAGCAAGAAGCCCCAACCTTCGACGGCTTCGACTTCGGCAACATCAAACGGGAGCCCACCTCCTCGACGAGCTTCTTTCATCCCTCACCAAAGACCACCGACGGCATCTTTACCGCCCCGCCGCCGCCGCCGCCGCAATCTCAACACCATCTGACCCCAAAGCCCGACCTCGATCCCTTGTTCCCCGATTTGGCACCCGTTTCGGCCGGTCAAGTCCCTTTCAACTACGACGACGACTCGGTAAACTTCCTTTATTCCCTCCCTCTATACACACCTCTGACCACTCCACAGTCCATTCCTCGCAGTGTCCCAGCTGCCACTCCCACCGTCACCGCCATGACAAGACTGGTCCATCCCAAGCCCAGATCACCACCTTGTCCAGCCGACTTCATTAACCGCCACAGCTTATCAGGCGGACCAGCAGATGTGACTCCCTACAATATCCTCAACAGACAGGGCCTTTTTGAAGCCAACACCCCTATCCCCTCATCATACCTCACTCCCGCTCACACTCCATCCAGAGACCTCACAACCCCCGTCGTGAACGGAAAGATCCTCAAGCGTATCCCCAAGCCCGCCAAGGCCAAGGACGTGGACGCATCAGACTGGTATGACTCCCTCCGCGAGGCGCCTGCCCCCTGGGGCGGGCACGACCATACAAAGCCCATGTTCCAATACAACAAAGAGGGCGAGCTGCAACCGAGTCTGCGCTTCACCCGTGAGCAAATCCTGTACTACATCAGGGAGCGGAAGCAGCGAGGACTCCCCCTGACCCTTTGGATCCAAAACGTTCCCCACGGCTGCAAGACACGAGTGGGCGACGACAGACTGCGCGCGTGCCGCTGGTCAGGCTGCCCGGCCTACAAGGGCACCATCCTAAAGGGCTTCTGGCGCGTCTGCTTCGACGAGCGGTCCGAAACCTCGGGGAAGCAGCACGATCCGTATCATAACGCGGGCTACATGCACTTGTGGTGTATGGACCGCTGCTTCGATCTCCTAGAGATTGCCCAAGCATTCGACCTGAAGCCTGATACCCGCTACTTTGAAAAGGAAGAGCGCAACCCCATGGCCATGACCCGTGATCACGACGAGCTGGTGATGGAGTTTGAAGAGTGGCGCACATCCCAGCAGGCCGCTTACGAAGAATGGCAAAGGTCGTCAGAGACCAACAAGATGATGGGACTCCCCATCCAGAACCGCCAGGTCGGCCGAGAAGCCAAGCTGTGGTACGTGCTGACGACCAAGCACCTGGCGCTGGAGACTCCGGTGCGGAGCAACATGCGGAAGAAGAGAAACGGCATTTCCATTGATAAGCACAAGGGCGATCTCGACTGGTACGTCGAGAGAGTCAACGAGAAAAAGTTTTCCAAAAAGGGGCAATCCGTCATCGAGGAGCTCGACAGTGACGACGAAGAAGGCAGACAGACTGGTGCGAGCAGGGCGGCCCGTCCGAGTATCGATAAGAGAAAACGCGAAGAATACGAGTTTGACGACAATGACAACGCCTCTCATTCCCAGACAGCCACTTGGAACAAACGTGCGAAACAGTCGTGCTATTCACCCGTTGAAAGACGTTGATCATTGATGCCTTTGTCTCTCCCTTTACCAGGTGGTGAAGAACCATGCGCCTCCAAAATCTTTGTAATTCTTGGCCACATTGGGATGTTTGTTTTCTGAGCCGGAGCAAGGGGCTATGTTCACACGAATGCGGTTAACATAGGATTGATACCCCATATTAGATATAGATGCACCAAGAAGGCGGGGTGGAGACGAGGAGAAGAGGAATGGAAACCTCGTTGGCAGCCTCAACGCAACGAATCAGAGATACAGACTTACCTAGTATCACCATGATTAATAACAGATCTCTAACCCACGACTTGAGCGCATTTCTCGAGTGACAAGCGTGATTCCTGACTCACAATCCAGGCTCATGCCAAGGGTCCTGGAGCTGGGGCAGGCGCGGCCGCCATGCGACGGTTCCAAACGGTCGGGCGGCAGGCTGCGGCCTAGAGCACGCGCCCGCGCCAAGTGGCCTCAAGCCGACCCCCGGAAGATGGGAAAGCTCGGACAAGTGCTGTTTACGGGTGCTAGGAAGCGGGCGCGAAAAGGGCCGGATGAGATTTTGGTTCAAGAGCCATGGTTTGGGGCACTTTAGTTGCGGAGCCATCAACATAAGAGAGTTTCGATTAAGAGAAGCGGAATGGAGGGGCCGCAGAATGAACTGGGGATGACCGGAAGCGGTGACATGGTGTGGATGACCTTTTTTTTGCTTGGAGGATGGAGACCCGGGCAACGAATTGGCAACGCCGTGTTCCGCACAAAGTATCCCGGTCTCTGTAGATGGGCAGAAGCTGAACATACTCCAGAGAGACATACGAAGAAAGGGCAGGTCGGCCAAGGTGAAAGCGGGCCGTAGTGTTGGTGCGAATGAGTCGTAGCTCTCGCGGCCCCGCGGGTAGTAAACGTTGGCGTGCGAAAGCGCGGCGAGGCCGAGGGGAGTAGGGGCGCTAGTCCTGAAAGGAGATGCTACGATGCAGGAGGGCGCCGCGCAAGTAAGATGGTATGGAGTGGTATCGTCTCAACAGAGCCGCTGGCTCGATTCCTATTGAACGGCTTATGGTCCTCGTGCTCCTCTGGGTGTAAGGCAGGGCTGAGGGGGAGAACGAGGAGGGCACTATGCTGCGTGCGCGTTGGCGGGGGCGGAAAGTCGAAGCAGAAGAGCCTGGCGGCTGAAAGAGCTGTCTATCTGTGGTGTGTAAGGTATGTCAGTCAATGTTGGGGATGGGACAATGCGAGGGTGTTGACCTCAAGTGAAAGTACAAATAGAAAGGCGAGTTACTCGCAGTCGTAGTTGCAGTCATAGCTGATTATTTTCTGCCCATCCCTGTGAAAAGAGAGTCGACTTGGAGTATTGTTCTCGACGGATTCGATGAGGCAGTTTTGACTCAGACATTGACCAAAGTAAATCTGGACTGACTTATTACCTTGTTTCCTCCCTTCTTCCATCGTTCCATTTCTGTTCTGCGGCTTGGCAGTTTGCGACAAAAAGCAAAAGCCAGTCACGATTTATCGCATTGGTATTCTGAATACATCCAACGGGTAGCACGGCGGTGGTTGCCGTCGGAAAGAGGGCTCCAAGTGCCTGATTCGCTTCATCCCGTTATCGAGCTCGAGAGGCAACTTGGGATTGTCTTGGTGCGGCATCGAAGCCCGCTCATCCCCGCGAGCAGTCGGCGATCGGACATTAGACGGCACAGAGCTGGAACACTGGGCTGAAGCTTAGCCCTGGAGGGCATCGGGTGATCTTCGACAGCGTCTTGGATGGGTACTTGCGAACATTCGACAAGCATAAAATTCGAAAGCCGAAACAGGATTTGGCAGCATTGGCCGAAAAGGGCGTTGTTGGCATCACAAAAATAGCCAGGGGAGCATCTGGGCTGCAATTGAGCTTGTGGTGACGAAAGAGAAAGAGAAAGGCAGATGCGCAGCCGAAGGGCAAGATTGAATTTGGAAAGACAACAAGCGAGAATTGATGCGACGAAACCAAAGACTAAGAAACCTCACGACACGTCGACACCACGTTGCGCAGAGTTGAGAGTTTGCGAGCAAGGTGCTTTGACACGTTGCGTTACGAGTTGCAACTTCCTGTTGAAATTGGAAGGCACCTCACGGACTGAGGAAACCACCAAGAGAACGAACCTTCCTATCTCACTTCACTTGCCTTCAAGTACGCCTTGGAGTTTTGGGTAGGACTGGAAGGGCCCGTCCGTCTACAGATACCTAACTAAGGTATCTTGGCCCGATATCCGATCCGATATCTTACGGGAAGTCACAGCCGGAAGGTTGGAGTGTCACTGTCAACGTGCTTTCCTCCTTTTTGATTGTTGATTCCATAAGGTACTTGGGGAAGGTTGGGTACCTTGAGGGAGAGAAAACAGACAACAAGCAGAAGGAGCAGCACAGAGATCGTGCACGAGCCAAGTGAGCACCTACCTCACTCGGCCTCCAAGTACCTTACTGTACAGTAGTAAGGTGCCTCTACTGCAGGTGCGGGCAGCGCGGATCACCAGGTTGACTTGCAGGAGGCAGGAGCAGAAAGTAAGAGCTGCTCTGTCATCAAATCACGTCTGGGATTAGTACTTGCGAATTCTCGTTATTGAGGTGGTGTTTGTGGTACCACTTCCCACGCATCTCGACAACACTCAGCAAGCACACAGCTCCTGTTGTCTGTGAGAGAAGTTGCTGCCGCAAACATTTGGTGGGCAACTCCACGCTTCCTCCACGCTTCCTCCACGCTTTCCACCACCTCACCTCCAAAAGTCATCATCCCTCCATCCCTCCCCCCAAATCCCTCCACCTGGGCATCCATCCCACCCAACACCACCCCCCTTGACTCCCTGAGTCCCTGACCCATCCACGTTCCTCATTGTCACTGCACGCTGCATGCCGCACTCTGCACACTGCAGCTGCAGCCGACCGAGGTCGCTTACGCTCACTCTCTCGCACATCGCATCGAATTCGCAGCTGCAACTCAACTGCACCGCGCACCGCGCACCGCGTTGGCTTGCCTTTCTGTCGTCACGTCAAAGCAACTCGGTCTGGACTCTTTTCGTCTCCCATCTATTCGATCCTGAACAATCCCAAAGCAACAAAGCCATTCAGAACCACCCTGGCCATCGGACTTAAACACCACACGACCGCTACCATCCGCACCGATCCATCCCCACGCGCGCGCACTATCCGTACGGATACCAAAGACAAGACCCGACCAGCTTGCTCCAGCTCCAGCTCCCAGAGCTCTCCACTCTCCAATTAATACCGTACAGAAGCACCGCCGGCTGGGGCACCAGTCAAACCCACCTATCCCGGGAGCCACGACGTCGGCCTTCGGAGAAGCCGTCCATCTCATCTCGAGATCCATCCGCGTCCCTTTTTTTTTCTTTTCTCTTTCCCTCTCTGGCCTTTGCTGTGGGGGAACACCGCCAAAAGGGAACCTTGAAAGAGACAAGATCCAGAAACCGCAAAGGGGGTGGTGGGCGCAAACATCAGACCTGACGAAAGCCCCAGCCCTGTTTCGTTCCGACCGACCACCATCAAGATCGCAAAACTGTGTCTTTCTCCTGTCCATCGTCTACCTTATTCTTTCTTTCAACCTTCTTCCATACTTCCTCTCCCGGCAACCTTACGCACGTCATTGCGTCTCGGCGCACCTCGCCATCCAACCCACCAAGCCTACCGAGTACCTACTTGCATCTTATTGCCGACCTACCTTACCTACCTAGACGCCGAACCAACCACTCACCGACGACACCCTCACCCCGCGCTCACCGACGATCTCACTCACTTTGCAGATTCCAGATCTGTCAGCCCCTGCAAACCAACCATCAAATCCCACCGGAGCGCGCGTCTGTACACTGCGACTGATCGCATCTTCCCCACCAGCTCAGAACGAAGACCGCCGCTGCGTCGCATGCCAATTCCATCTGCCGTGCCGTTCCGTCTTGTCTGCCACAGGCCCCATTACCTCATCGTGGCATTGGCTGCTCGTCTAGGCGGGGTGGTGGCTTTGTAGAGGCGGCATTGGCTGTGCTCTCGGCATTGGGAGGAATCCTAATTCTATCAATCAACTCTCTCCGCGTCTTATTGTCCGTCATGGAGGACACAAATGGGGAGAAGTCAGAGAATTCCCGCCGGCCGGCCTTGCAGGTCATTGTCCTGGTACGTTTCACTCTCACATCTCTGATGCGCCTCACTGCCGACTTTCAACGTCGCAGATCGCGCGTGTCCTCTTTCACATTCCCGAGGCTTGCTGGGCCTCGACGTATCGAGTGTCTCTCATGAAGGGAGGAAAAGTCCCCCACGAGATCATCCCGACCCGGCCGCCCGGCGCATCCTCTTGTCGTTCATGCAGTCGACTTTTTCGGGTTGCGCCAACCGCACCAAATGGGAAATCCATGGAACCTTTTGCAAGTGCAGCAGCCTTGGGCGAGGGAGAATCGGCAGTTCTTCTTCAACGCTTTGCGCATGCGATCAGGACTGGAGACACATCTTTCAATGCGACAGAGTGACCTGTCGCTTCTTGGGCCGGGATCCCCTCAAAGAGTGCCCCATCATGTCCGCACCTCCGCTAACCCAATTTTCTAGGGTGCTGGCGGCGGTCCCCAGGAATCCAATACTACCGCTCTTCTGGTCCGCTCAGTTGCCTCGGGGTGGACAAAAGGCTCCATTATCGCCGTAGATGCCGGTGTCCATCTCTCCGCTATTACACGCATCCTTGAGGAAACGGCACCTCCAGGCCTCGGCACCCAGCTTCCGCTCCCCCACACCCTTGCCTCCGGGCCATTTGCAGGCCTGCAGCTTACACCAAACAACCAGTTGGAGGTCGCAACAGGCGCAGTGTACCCAACGGGCATCGCCTCATTCATCACTCGCTCTCTCATCGACACTTATGTGATTACTCATCCTCACCTCGATCACATATCCGGCTTCGTCGTGAATACAGCGGGTCTTACCAGGCCAAAGCGCCTTGCCGCATTGCCCTCAACGATCAACGCCCTCAAAACCCACATCTTTAACAATGTGATTTGGCCCAACTTGTCTGACGAAAGTAATGGGGCGGGCTTGGTCACGTATACTCGGCTTGTCGAAGGAGGGTCCCCAGCCATTGGCGATGGCGAATCCAAAGGATATCTAGAGGTTGCGGATCGCCTTGCCATCAAGGCGTATTCTGTTTCACATGGCCACTGCATCGAGAGGCACCCACATCGTGGCTCAACCTCCTCCACCGCAACACCCCTCCGATACCCTTCTGTTGATGCCGCATCCATGGCAT